TAGTTGATATGAGTACATGGTGTAGTTGATATGAGTACATGGTGTAGTTGATATAAGTACATAGTGTAGTTGATATAAGTACATAGTGTAGTTGATATAAGTACATAGTGTAGTTGATATAACTACATAGTGTAGTTGATATAAGTACATGGTGTAGTTGATATAACTACATAGTGTAGTTGATATAACTACATAGTGTAGTTGATATAACTACATAGTGTAGTTGATATAAGTACATGGTGTAGTTGATATAACTACATAGTGTAGTTGATATAAGTACATAGTGTAGTTGATATAAGTACATAGTGTAGTTGATATAAGTACATGGTGTAGTTGATATAAGTACATGGTGTAGTTGATATAACTACATAGTGTAGTTGATATAAGTACATAGTGTAGTTGATATGAGTACATAGTGTAGTTAATATAAGTACATGGTGTAGTTGATATAAGTACATGGTGTAGTTGATATAACTACATAGTGTAGTTGATATAAGTACATAGTGTAGTTGATATAAGTACATAGTGTAGTTGATATAAGTACATAGTGTAGTTGATATAAGTACATGGTGTAGTTGATATAACTACATAGTGTAGTTGATATAACTACATAGTGTAGTTGATATAAGTACATAGTGTAGTTGATATGAGTACATAGTGTAGTTGATATGAGTACATGGTGTAGTTGATATAAGTACATAGTGTAGTTGATATAAGTACATAGTGTAGTTGATATAAGTACATAGTGTAGTTGATATAACTACATAGTGTAGTTGATATAAGTACATGGTGTAGTTGATATGAGTACATAGTGTAGTTGATATAAGTACATAGTGTAGTTGATATAACTACATAGTGTAGTTGATATAACTACATAGTGTAGTTGATATAAGTACATGGTGTAGTTGATATAACTACATAGTGTAGTTGATATAAGTACATAGTGTAGTTGATATAAGTACATAGTGTAGTTGATATAAGTACATGGTGTAGTTGATATAAGTACATGGTGTAGTTGATATAACTACATAGTGTAGTTGATATAAGTACATAGTGTAGTTGATATGAGTACATAGTGTAGTTAATATAAGTACATGGTGTAGTTGATATAAGTACATAGTGTAGTTGATATGAGTACATAGTGTAGTTGATATAAGTACATAGTGTAGTTGATATAACTACATAGTGTAGTTGATATAAGTACATAGTGTAGTTGATATAAGTACATAGTGTAGTTGATATGAGTACATAGTGTAGTTGATATAAGTACATGGTGTAGTTGATATAACTACATAGTGTAGTTGATATAAGTACATAGTGTAGTTGATATAAGTACATAGTGTAGTTGATATAAGTACATAGTGTAGTTGATATGAGTACATAGTGTAGTTGATATAAGTACATGGTGTAGTTGATATAACTACATAGTGTAGTTGATATAAGTACATGGTGTAGTTGATATGAGTACATAGTGTAGTTGATATGAGTACATAGTGTAGTTGATATGAGTACATAGTGTAGTTGATATGAGTACATAGTGTAGTTGATATGAGTACATAGTGTAGTTGATATAAGTACATAGTGTAGTTGATATAAGTACATAGTATAGTTGATATAAGTACATTGTGTAGTTGATATAAGTACATGGTGTAGTTGATATAAGTACATGGTGTAGTTGATATGAGTACATAGTGTAGTTGATATAAGTACATAGTGTAGTTGATATAACTACATAGTGTAGTTGATATAAGTACATAGTGTAGTTGATATAAGTACATCGTGTAGTTGATATAAGTACATAGTGTAGTTGATATAAGTACATGGTGTAGTTGATATGAGTACATAGTGTAGTTGATATAAGTACATAGTGTAGTTGATATAACTACATAGTGTAGTTGATATAAGTACATAGTGTAGTTGATATGAGTACATAGTGTAGTTGATATAAGTACATAGTGTAGTTGATATAACTACATAGTGTAGTTGATATAAGTACATAGTGTAGTTGATATGAGTACATAGTGTAGTTGATATAAGTACATTGTGTAGTTGATATAAGTACATAGTGTAGTTGATATAAGTACATAGTGTAGTTGATATAACTACATAGTGTAGTTGATATAAGTACATAGTGTAGTTGATATGAGTACATAGTGTAGTTGATATAAGTACATTGTGTAGTTGATATAACTACATAGTGTAGTTGATATAAGTACATAGTGTAGTTGATATAAGTACATTGTGTAGTTGATATAAGTACATGGTGTAGTTGATATGAGTACATAGTGTAGTTGATATAAGTACATAGTGTAGTTGATATAACTACATAGTGTAGTTGATATAAGTACATAGTGTAGTTGATATGAGTACATAGTGTAGTTGATATGAGTACATGGTGTAGTTGATATGAGTACATAGTGTAGTTGATATAACTACATAGTGTAGTTGATATAAGTACATAGTGTAGTTGATATGAGTACATGGTGTAGTTGATATAACTACATAGTGTAGTTGATATAAGTACATGGTGTAGTTGATATAACTACATAGTGTAGTTGATATAACTACATAGTGTAGTTGATATAAGTACATAGTGTAGTTGATATAAGTACATTGTGTAGTTGATATAAGTATATAGTGTAGTTGATATGAGTACATAGTGTAGTTGATATAAGTACATGGTGTAGTTGATATGAGTACATAGTGTAGTTGATATAACTACATAGTGTAGTTGATATAACTACATAGTGTAGTTGATATAAGTACATAGTGTAGTTGATATGAGTACATGGTGTAGTTGATATAACTACATAGTGTAGTTGATATAAGTACATAGTGTAGTTGATATAACTACATAGTGTAGTTGATATGAGTACATGGTGTAGTTGATATAACTACATAGTGTAGTTGATATAACTACATAGTGTAGTTGATATAACTACATAGTGTAGTTGATATAAGTACATAGTGTAGTTGATATAAGTACATAGTGTAGTTGATATAACTACATAGTGTAGTTGATATAACTACATAGTGTAGTTGATATAACTACATAGTGTAGTTGATATAAGTACATAGTGTAGTTGATATAACTACATAGTGTAGTTGATATAACTACATAGTGTAGTTGATATAACTACATAGTGTAGTTGATATAAGTACATAGTGTAGTTGATATGAGTACATGGTGTAGTTGATATAAGTACATAGTGTAGTTGATATAACTACATAGTGTATTTGATATGAGTACATAGTGTAGTTGATATAAGTACATGGTGTAGTTGATATAAGTACATAGTGTAGTTGATATAACTACATAGTGTATTTGATATGAGTACATAGTGTAGTTGATATAAGTACATAGTGTAGTTGATATAAGTACATAGTGTAGTTGATATGAGTACATGGTGTAGTTGATATAACTACATAGTGTAGTTGATATAACTACATAGTGTATTTGATATGAGTACATAGTGTAGTTGATATAAGTACATAGTGTAGTTGATATGAGTACATAGTGTAGTTGATATAAGTACATAGTGTACTTGATATAAGTACATAGTGTAGTTGATATAAGTACATAGTGTAGTCCCAGCTCTGATTGGCCGTTCAGTGTTTTCTGAGCTCTGTTGCTTTCAGATGAGGAAACCAGTGTTTCTGTTATTTTGATATTGGAGTTTTATCTCGTCCGCGAGGCGTCGGCTCAATAAAACCTGCTGATAGCATCAGACTGAGAACAAGGAAGTCAGATCAGCTGATTCCAGACCAGTTATTAAAGCTTTACGAGAAACAGGTTTCATAGATCGAGGAAAAAGATGTCTGGGACAGGGTGAAGCGTCTCCAGGAAATAGACACAGCCGATTTGTTTGTTTGCCATCTGTTTACTATTATTTGTATTTCATTTTATTGTCATATTTTATTTCTTGTTTTTTCATTTTCCTTTTTTAATTTATATTTCATTTGTTAAGATGTGGAGTTCTTTGTCCGGCACGCATGCCTTTAAATGCTCTTCAATGTCCTTTAGAGGATATTAAAGTGAATATGATTTGGGGAATATTTTCAGTAAATACTCACAGCCTGTGGTGAGTTCAGGGTGCGTGGGAATAAGAAGTGTTCACTATATATTGGGCACCACACATTAGTGGTTCAGGGAATATAGTATTGATTACTTTTGTCAGTAAAAGCATGACGTCCTGCAGACATCCAGTAATTAGACACGGGAGCAGCTAAAGACCCCGAACCAACAGTGAGGATGTTCAGTGAGTGCCGACTCCGGACAAGCAGCAACAACTAGAATGTTCCCCGTTATGAACTTGTGTTATGTCTTCCTTATTGCAATAGTAATTATTATGTGTGCACATGTTGGCCTACGCTTGAAGTTGTGGCTTTAGGCTGCTGCTGAGCAACGCACAAGTCATGTAAAGAGTTACTTTATGTAGAGAGTAACAAAGTAAAGTCATATATTACTTTTTTTTAAAGTAATGAGTAATATGTAATATATTACCTTTTGAGAAGCCTTATAGTGGCTCTAATTAGATAAAGAGAGTCGTGTCTAATTCCTGGAAGCCGTAATGTTCTTTTATGTTTGAATGTGTTTTAAAGTCTTCTTTTACATTACATGACATGTCAGTTGTTAGACGCTTTTATCCAAAGCGACTTACATACTCAATACTGTGGGCAATCCCCTCTTCTTCGTGTTTTCAGATTCAAATTCAAAGATTTTATTTCTCCCTGTTTCAGAGACATCCAGTAATTAGACACGGCCCTGAGGAGCCTTATAGTGGCTCTAATTAGAGAAGGAGGGTCGTGTCTAATTCCTGGAAGCCGTAAAGTTCTTCTGCTGTATGTTTGAAAGTGTTTTAGAGTTAAAGGCTTCTTCTACTTCTTCGTTCGAATGCATATTATTAAGTCTCCTCCTTCCTGTTTCAGAGCGCGTTGGCGTAATGATGTCCCTTGATGTTTGAATGTGTTTTAAAGTCTTCTCCTCCTTCCTGTTTCAGAGCGCGTGTGCGTTCCAGGCGTCTCTGAGCGATGGCGGTCAGATCGTGGCGACGCTGGAGCGCTCCGATCTCCAGGAGAACGTGACGGCGTACGCTGCTCAGATCTCAGGAGGAACAAGGCCCATCGTCGTGCAGTTTGAGAACGCCAGCGAGCTGAAGGTCAAGGAGCTGAAGGTCAAGGAGCTGAAGGTCAACGCCTCGCTGCACGGCCTCTGCTACAGCGTCAGCTTGCTGCTGAGAGAGGGGCCGGACGGCTGGTCCAAACCCATCAGAACCATCCCAGTGCTCACCAGTGAGTTACTATGTTACTCACTGCACATATTATTCACATTCGATTTCTACGATTTCAATCATATTCAATGTACACACTGCTATATTCTGATTATATATAATGTTATTATAGTTTCTTCAAATAGTTTTCTATCTGTGTTTTTAATGTTTTGTTTTATTTGTATGTATGCTCCACGACACGTGTGTTACCGTACGTGGTAATAAACCTGTTTCTGGTTCTGGTTCTTTATAAACCCCTTAAATATCATGTTTTCTGAGAAACCCTTAACTACCAGGGTGCTTTTTAAGACTGAACTATACTGACATGTGTGTGTGTATGATTACAGTAATGATGATGTGTGTGTGTTCAGAGCCTCTCCCCGTGCGCAGCGTGCACATCTGGGACTACAGAGAGTCTCCAGAGACCGGCGTGGTGTTCCAGCTGCAGCCACCAGGGGGCAGCGTGTTCAGCCGCGTCAACATCAGCTACAGCGAGGGGGCGGAGCCTCGCTACATGCTGTACAAAGGTTATTACTATATTAAAGGTCTCCCATCATGCACGATGCCTTTCTGATGTCTTTTATACATCAATACAGAGATTACACCCTTTACTCAAGTAGAAGTACACACATCCTTTACTCAAGTAGAAGTACACACACCCTTTACTCAAGTAGAAGTACACACATCCTTTACTCAAGTAGAAGTACACACATCCTTTACTCAAGTAGAAGTACACACATCCTTTACTCAAGTAGAAGTACACACATCCTTTCCTCAAGTAGAAGTACACACATCCTTTACTCAAGTAGAAGTACACACACCCTTTACTCAAGTAAAAGTACACACATCCTGTACTCAAGTAGAAGTACACACATCCTGTGCTCAAGTAGAAGTACACACACCCTTTACTCAAGTAGAAGTACACACATCCTTTCCTCAAGTAGAAGTACACACATCCTTTACTCAAGTAGAAGTACACACACCCTTTACTCAAGTAGAAGTACACACATCCTTTACTCAAGTAGAAGTACACACATCCTTTACTCAAGTAGAAGTACACACATCCTGTACTCAAGTAGAAGTACACACATCCTGTGCTCAAGTAGAAGTACACACACCCTTTACTCAAGTAGAAGTACACACACCCTTTACTCAAGTAGAAGTACACACATCCTTTACTCAAGTAGAAGTACACACACCCTTTACTCAAGTAGAAGTACACACATCCTTTACTCAAGTAGAAGTACACACATCCTTTACTCAAGTAGAAGTACACACATCCTTTACTCAAGTAGAAGTACACACATCCTTTCCTCAAGTAGAAGTACACACATCCTTTACTCAAGTAGAAGTACACACACCCTTTACTCAAGTAGAAGTACACACATCCTTTACTCAAGTAGAAGTACACACATCCTTTACTCAAGTAGAAGTACACACATCCTTTACTCAAGTAGAAGTACACACATCCTTTACTCAAGTAGAAGTACACACATCCTTTACTCAAGTAGAAGTACACACATCCTGTACTCAAGTAGAAGTACACACATCCTGTGCTCAAGTAGAAGTACACACACCCTTTACTCAAGTAGAAGTACACACATCCTTTCCTCAAGTAGAAGTACACACATCCTTTACTCAAGTAGAAGTACACACACCCTTTACTCAAGTAGAAGTACACACATCCTTTACTCAAGTAGAAGTACACACATCCTTTACTCAAGTAGAAGTACACACATCCTGTACTCAAGTAGAAGTACACACATCCTGTGCTCAAGTAGAAGTACACACACCCTTTACTCAAGTAGAAGTACACACATCCTTTACTCAAGCAGAAGTACACATATCCTTTACTCAAGTAGAAGTACACACATCCTGTACTCAAGTAGAAGTACACACATCCTGTGCTCAAGTAGAAGTACACACACCCTTTACTCAAGTAGAAGTACACACACCCTTTACTCAAGTAGAAGTACACACATCCTTTACTCAAGTAGAAGTGCACACACCCTTTACTCAAGTAGAAGTACACACATCCTTTACTCAAGCAGAAGTACACACATCCTTTACTCAAGTAGAAGTACACACATCCTGTACTCAAGTAGAAGTACACACATCCTGTGCTCAAGTAGAAGTACACACATCCTTTACTCAAGTAGAAGTACACACATCCTGTGCTCAAGTAGAAGTACACACATCCTTTACTCAAGCAGAAGTACACACATCCTTTACTCAAGTAGAAGTGCACACATCCTTTACTCAAGTAGAAGTACACACATCCTTTACTCAAGTAGAAGTACACACATCCTTTACTCAAGTAGAAGTACACACATCCTTTACTCAAGTAGAAGTACACACATCCCTTACTCAAGTAGAAGTACACACATCCTTTACTCAAGTAGAAGTACAAACATCCTGTGCTCAAGTAGAAGTGCACACATCCTTTCCTCAAGTAGAAGTACACTCATCCTTTCCTCAAGTAGAAGTACACACATCCTTTACTCAAGTAGAAGTACACACATCCTTTACTCAAGTAGAAGTACAAACATCCTTTACTCAAGTAGAAGTACACACATCCTTTACTCAAGTAGAAGTGCACACATCCCTTACTCAAGTAGAAGTACACACATCCTGTACTCAAGTAGAAGTACACGCATCCCTTACTCAAGTAGAAGTACACACATCCTTTACTCAAGTAGAAGTACACACATCCCTTACTCAAGTAGAAGTACACACATCCTTTACTCAAGTAGAAGTACACACATCCTGTACTCAAGTAGAAGTACACACATCCTGTACTCAAGTAGAAGTACACACATCCTTTCCTCAAGTAGAAGTACACACATCCTTTACTCAAGTAGAAGTACACACATCCTTTACTCAAGTAGAAGTACACACATCCTTTACTCAAGTAGAAGTGCACACATCCTTTCCTCAAGTAGAAGTACACACATCCTTTACTCAAGTAGAAGTACACACATCCTTTACTCAAGTAGAAGTACAAACATCCTTTACTCAAGTAGAAGTACACACATCCCTTACTCAAGTAGAAGTGCACACATCCCTTACTCAAGTAGAAGTACACACATCCTTTACTCAAGTAGAAGTACACACATCCTTTACTCAAGTAGAAGTACACACATCCTTTACTCAAGTAGAAGTGCACACATCCCTTACTCAAGTAGAAGTACACACATCCTGTACTCAAGTAGAAGTACACGCATCCCTTACTCAAGTAGAAGTACACACATCCTTTACTCAAGTAGAAGTACACACATCCCTTACTCAAGTAGAAGTACACACATCCTTTACTCAAGTAGAAGTACACACATCCTGTACTCAAGTAGAAGTACACACATCCTGTACTCAAGTAGAAGTACACACATCCTTTCCTCAAGTAGAAGTACACACATCCTTTACTCAAGTAGAAGTACACACATCCTTTACTCAAGTAGAAGTACACACATCCTTTACTCAAGTAGAAGTGCACACATCCTTTCCTCAAGTAGAAGTACACACATCCTTTACTCAAGTAGAAGTACACACATCCTTTACTCAAGTAGAAGTACACACATCCTTTACTCAAGTAGAAGTACAGATACTCGTGTTTAAAGTAGTGAACTGGTGAAAGTAGAAGTACTGACTAAACTTCTTTACTCAAGTGAAAGTAAAGTACTTTGAAGTGTACTTCAGTAGAAAGTACCCATAACTAGCAGCTGCTTTAAAGAGTACCTGACCTCCCTTTATATTAAAGAACAATAATGTAATTGTTAGCTAATGAATGTTTCCAATGAACGTGTTCTGGAAGTAATCTGGTCTGTGTTTACATTAGCATGCTAACACTCAGAGCTAACCTGCTGGAGAGAGTGTGTGAAGAAGCAGGAAATCAAAAGGAAGTCACCTTGTGGTAAACCTGAGAGAGAGAAAGAGTTTGAGCTCCATCCTGTTTCAGAGAGAATCCTTGATGTGGTTTGGAACATGATGTGGAGTTTCATCACGGCAGCATTTAGCTGAGTTTCTGCTGGGAGAGTTCTGAGCAGGCATTAGCTCCGCCTACTCTTTAAAAAAACACCTAACAGCTTGAAGAGAGAGGGGGAGGGGGGAGGCTAGAATGATCTCTTTGGTGTTTCGAGCAAAACACCAAAGAGGCATGTGTTTTATATATCTGTATATATCTGATCCTGTGAAGCCTGAGCTCTGAGGTACAACATGCTGTAACTCTGTGGTCCTCTCTGTGTGTCTGCAGACTTCCACAAGGGGAAGACGGTGTTCAGGCACTGGCTCCCTGGCGTCTGCTACAGGAACATCACCTTCATGCTCATCTCTGAGGCCACCATCTCCCAGCATGCACTGCTCTCACACAGTGACGTCACACACACTCCTCTGCACCACAGGACAGGTACACACACACTCCTCTGTACTACAGGACAGGTACACACACACTCATCTGCACCACAGGACAGGTACACACACACTCCTCTGTACTACAGGACAGGTACACACACACTCCTCTGTACTACAGGACAGGTACACACACACACTCCTCTGTACTACAGGACAGGTACACACACACTCCTCTGTACTACAGGACAGGTACACACACACACTCCTCTGTACTACAGGACAGGTACACACACACTCCTCTGCACCACAGGACAGGTACACACACACACTCCTCTGTACTACAGGACAGGTACACACACACTCCTCTGCACCACAGGACAGGTACACACACACTCATCTGCACCACAGGACAGGTACACACACACTCATCTGCACCACAGGACAGGCACACACACACTCCTCTGCACCACAGGACAGGTACACACACACTCATCTGCACCACAGGACAGGCACACACACACTCCTCTGCACCACAGGACAGGTACACACACTCCTCTGCACCACAGGACAGGTACACACACACTCCTCTGCACCACAGGACAGGTACACACACACTCCTCTGCACCACAGGACAGGTACACACACACTCATCTGCACCACAGGACAGGTACACACACACTCATCTGCACCACAGGACAGGTACACACACACTCATCTGCACCACAGGACAGGTACACACACTTGTACACAAACAACTTTTAAAACTATTTTTGTGTGTAAATCGACAATATCTGTTTTCAAATCATCATTTTTCTCTTATCCTGCTTTTTTAAAATTGTATTTGTATAAAAATCATCTTAATTCTTTAAAATGAATTCCTGTGTCCCCCCAGTCCAGGTACACACACTCGTAATTTATATTATATAGTTTTTTAATTTTACTCTTTGGATGGAAACAACTTTTTAAACTATTCTTATTTTTGCTTGAAATTCTCCAAAAATTCCGAAATCCCTTTAAAAGAAATCTTAATTTCTTAAAATCTTCTTCTTTCCCTCCCAGTCCCATTCCCCCCCCTCAACATCTCCCATAAGATCGTGCACCTGGTCCAGAGGCCTCTCCAGAAGGACCCCCCTGCCCCCCCCCGGCAGTCCCGGGACGTTGCCCTCCTGGACGAAGAGCCCCTGGAGGAGGTTGGGTTTTGATTTATTTATTCTACTATTTCAACAATTAGAAAGTTTATACATCCGGCAGAAAGCAGAGTGACTGTTAGAGAACTCTCCCTGGTCCCCGGCTTGAGCTTCAGCCTCTGATCCATGTGTCTGTGATCCTCTCCAGAAGAGTGCTCACTTTTTCCTCAAAATCTCAAAAATTCGCACTTTTTCTAAACATCTAAAAATCTGACTTTTTCCTGAAAAATCTCAAAAATGCAGACTTTTTCCTAAAAATGCTCACTTTTTCTAAAAATGTTGACTTTTTCAAAAAGATCTGACTTTCTATCAAGATTCTGACTTTTTCTGAAAAATCTCAACATTTTGACTTTTTCACAAAATTCTGACTTTTTCTCAAAAATATCAAAATTCTGACTTTTTCTTAAAATTCTGACTTTTTCTCAAAAATATCAAAATTCTGACTTTTTCACAAAATTCTGACTTTTTCTTAAAATTCTGACTTTTTCTGAATACTTAAAAATGTTAATAATCCCTGGTCCCCGGCTTGAGCTTCAGCCTCAGGATCCATGTATCTGATCCTCTCCAGAATGGAAGTAGTCATCACATACAGAGCATCAAGTAGTTCCTGAACAGTGTCCTTCACATGCTGATATCAAGAGAGGGAGTCACGCAGTCACAAGATGGAGGGATGCTGGTTCTCATACGAAACACTGAGTCTTTTCTCACAATGTTGGCTTTTTTCTGAAAATCTAAAAATGTCGACTTTTTCTGAAAATATCAAAATGCTGACTTTTTCACAAAATTCTGACATTGTCTAAAAATCTCAACAATTCTGAATTTTCCTCAAAAATCGGACTTTTTCAAAAAAATCTGACTTTCTCACTTTTTCAAACAAATCTAAAAATTCAGACTTTTTCTGAAAATCTCAAAATGTTTGGCTTTTTCCTCAAAATCTCAAACATTCTAAGTTATCATATGCCTAAAACAGACCTCCTTAGTCATCCAGTTGCACCTATTCAGAGGTCGTCCTCCTTAGTCATCCAGTTGCACCTATTCAGAGGTCTTCCTCCTTAGTCATCCAGTTGCACCTATTCAGAGGTCTTCCTCCTTAGTCATCCAGTTGCACCTATTCAGAGGTCTTCCTCCTTAGTCATCCAGTTGCACCTATTCAGAGGTCGTCCTCCTTAGTCATCCAGTTGCACCTATTCAGAGGTCGTCCTCCTTAGTCATCCAGTTGCACCTATTCAGAGGTCTTCCTCCTTAGTCATCCAGTTGCACCTATTCAGAGGTCTTCCTCCTTAGTCATCCAGTTGCACCTATTCAGAGGTCTTCCTCCTTAGTCATCCAGTTGCACCTATTCAGAGGTCGTCCTCCTTAGTCATCCAGTTGCACCTATTCAGAGGTCTTCCTCCTTAGTCATCCAGTTGCACCTATTCAGAGGTCGTCCTCCTCAGAGGTCGTCCTCCTCAGAGGTCTTCCTCCTCAGAGGTCTTCCTCCTCAGAGGTCTTCCTCCTCAGAGGTCTTCCTCCTCAGAGGTCTTCCTCCTCAGTCATCCAGTTGCAGGATAAAGAAAAAGATCATTCTGTATTTGAATCCTCCCTCAGGTTCAGCCTTCAGACGACCACAAGGGCACGGAGGCTCCTTTCAGCTTCAGCCCAACGCACAACCTGACAGGCTTCAACCTGACCAATGAGGAGGATGAGGGGGCGTGGCTTAATCCACCGAAGCAGGGGGCGTGGCCTAATCCACAGAAGGAAGAGGAACAAGAGGAAGAGGAGGAGGAAGAGGAGGAGTTTGTGAACGCGGTGGTGTCAGAGTATGAAGACTCGGGGTCAGCGATGATGCTCCACCCCCCCGACCCCCCCGCGGTGTCCCCCCCCCCGCTTCCCCCCCTCCTCATGGAGGTAAGATGGCTGCCCCCCCGACCGCCGACCAGCTACGACGGCTTCAACATCTACATCTACAGAGACGGTGAGTCATATTATTTCATGTTTGTTTTCGCTTCCAAAATCTAAATGGAAGTGATATGGTCTGTGTTTACATTAGCATGCTAACACTCAGAGCTAACCTGTACTGGAGAGAGTGTGTGAAGAAGCAGGAAGTCAAAAGGAAGTCACCTTGTGGTAAACCTGAGAGAGAGAAAGAGTTTGAGCTCCATCCTGTTTCAGAGAGAATCCTTGATGTGGTTTGGAACATGATGTGGAGTTTCATCACGGCAGCATTTAGCTGAGTTTCTGCTGGGAGAGTTCTCCTGATGAGATCTCCTCTCTCTTTGAAGCATGGGTGCCCAACCAGTCGATCGCGATCGACCGGTCGATAACGAGGAGATTCCCAGTCGATCGCGAGATGTGTCTAAAAATAGAACAACAATATTCTGTTTTATCGTTAATGTCCTATTACATTACATTACATTACATTTAGCTGAGGCTTTTATCCAAAGCGACTTACAATAAGTGCGTTCGACCAACAAAATACAAATTTGAAGAAAACAGAATCATAAAGTACATCAGGTTTCATCGAGCCAAACATTTCAAGTGCTGCTCAACTGGCTTTAGATAAGCCAGTCCTTTGTTAGTATATAAGTGCTTTGTTAATAGTTCTATCGCTGGAAGTGGAGTCGAAAGAGATGAGTTTTCAGTCTGGAAGGTGTGTAAGCTTTCTGCTGTCCTGATGTCAATGGGGAGCTCATTCCACCATCTTGGAGCCAGGATAGCAAACCCACGTGTTTCTGCTGATGGGAACTTGGGTCCCCCTCGCCGCGAGGGTGCAACGAGTCGTTTGGTTAATGCAGAGCGGAGTGCACGTGCTGGGGTGTACGGTTTAACCATGTCCTGGATGTAGGAAGGGCCAGATCCATTCGCAGCATGGTAAGCAAGTACCAGTGTCTTGAAGTGGATTCTAGCAGTTACCGGAAGCCAGTGAAGGGAGCGGAGGAGCGGAGTGGTGTGGGAACATTTAGGAAGGTTGAAGACCAGACGAGCCGCTGCATTCTGGATGAGCTGCAGAGGTCGGATGGCACATGCAGGTAGACCAGCCAGGAGGATTTGCAGTAGTCTAGGCG